TGTGTGTGTTCCATTCGTTATATAACGATTATGAGTCTATTACTTGATATTTTACACACACACACACGGGCGGGTGCAAGGGGGCGGCCTTCGGCCACCTCCCACACCCACACCGTCACAGAGATCTGCCCCGACAGTACTATCATAGCAACAGTACAATCGTAGAAGTCGTGTGCCCCTGTGCAGGAGGGGGGGAGTGAAAGTAACATCGCGTGGAAAGTTTAACGTTTCTGAACAGGGAAAGGTGTAGAATAGTATTTGATATCATACGTATATAGCAGAAATGAAACGTATATTTTAGAACTATGATTGTTAATAATTTTTTAACGAAGGACGAGCGACGGGAATGGTCAATGACCTTGATCTTCTTGAGGGTCACGGTCAAGGTCAAGGTCACTCGGAAGTCATTTGAGGTTGACTGTATAAAGCGAAACATTTACCCAGTAGGTTTCACTACTGTTAAAAATAACGCTTAATATCTCAAAAACTATAAGAGTCCGCCACCTAGTTATTAAGGCAAAGTTGCTCAGAATCATGATCTTAACAACATATATCAAGCTCAGGGTCATCGGAGCTGGCTCCCCTATAGTGCATAATTACCGGACGGAGCATCAAAATTGGTCCACAGAATCAATGATTCAGGCTATTTCGTCGTTATTAATAACAAAATATCCATTGCAAGTGCATATAGTGTTACATTGAATAAAGTTTATTAAAAATTATAATTTTGTATTATATTTCTGTTCTGACAATAAAAAAGTACTTTTCCTTAATGCCATTATGCCCTATTTTCATTAAAACCTTTCCAGAAGTCATTAAACAACACATCCCACTTTGCCCCGTGATTTTCAAATTTCTCAAAATAATACTTTTTCGTAAAAATAAAATTAGGATTATAAAACATATATTTATATTTAAGGAATCAGTTGAATATGTTAGTTTAGGAACCGAATTAGGGTTTTGATACGTTACCATAACTTTTTTTATGCAATATCATTTGGTTTCATAAGTTTTCCCATAGGCAGTCCATTTTGCCCCATGTTCCCCTATATTCTTTTGTTGCATATATACGTAATAATAATGATTTAACATTACTATTATAAACATTTTGTGTCCATGTGTTGTTACGTAGTCGACGGCGATTTCGATTCACTCCTGGGACGAAAATGAATTTCACATTTTACCCATGAATTTGATTTTTCAAAACTTTTCTCATCGCCGGAGAAAATCTGCTACACTACCTCACCTCATTCAGGAGCAGGAAAGCCAATTGAAGCAACTCCTAGATCGTTTTCAAGACGCGTTCGGCGATGTAGCAGGGAAACTCATAGGCCCGTCTGTCAAATTGCATTTGAAACCGGGAACCACCCCAGTATTTTCTAAAGAGAGATTCCGTTTGCGCTTCGTGATGCGTACGCGAGGGAGATTGAATCTAAGCTAACGGCAGGTTTCTATAAAAAGGTGAAATACTCAGAATGGGGGTCCACTACACATGTAGTAACAAAGAAGAACGGAAGACTGCGCATCACAGGAAACTACAAGTCAACGCTTAATCCACGCATCATTATAGATGAGCATCCAATTCTGAAAGCGGAACAGATCTTCAATGAGATGAGAGGCGCAAAGGTTTTCTGTCACCTTGATATCACAGATGCTTACTCACATCTAACTGTTGATGAGGAATTCAGTTACGCGCTCACGCTTAATACACACACACATGGTTTGATCCGACCGACTAGCGCAATGTATAAAGCTGCAAATATTCCAGTCATTTGGCAACGACGTATGGAATCCATTCTCTAAGGCCTCCCCAGGTACGGAATTTTTTTGACGATGTCCTGATTTTCGCAGACAATTTTGTAAAATTAATGGTAGTCTTGGAGGAAGCGCTGGAAAAAATGCGCTCACATGGTTTGCAGCTCAACCGGGCAAAATGTATCTTTGCGGCATCTGTGGAGTTTCTGGGCTACAAGATCGACGCGCAAGGTGTACACAAGGCTGATAAACACATTGAGGCTATTCGAGATGCGCCGAAATCTTCAACCCGAGAAGATCTCTATTTCTTGGGAAAGCCATGTACTATAATGCATTCATCCCAAGCCTTGCAACGAAAGCCCGACCTCTTCGGAATATGTTTCTTCAGGAGCCTTTGTGATGGACACCTGTTGCAGAGGAAGCTTTCAAGGACATAAAGAAAAGTACATTAGTATCTCCTCAAGTCTTGATGCCTTACGATCCATCGCTGCCTCTACTCTTGGCCGATCATGACCGACCAGTAAAACAGGTCTAGGGGCTGTATTATCTCACCGATTGAGCAACAGTCAAGAGCGACAAATCGCATACGCTAGTCGTACGATGACGGCGACAGAACAGAAATACCCCCAAATCGATAAGGAGGCGCTCGCCATTGTCTGGGCAGCACAGAAATTTTTTCATTACGTCTACGCGCACCACTGGACTCTGATCACGGATCATAAGCCATTAACTCAAATTCTTCATCCAGAAAAGTCTCTGCCGATTCTGTGTATCAGCAGGATGGCTAACTACGCGGACTACCTCGCACACTTTGATTTTAACGTGATTTTCAAACCCATAAAAGAGAATACAAACGCCGATTATTGCTCAAGAGTTCCATTACCGTCGACGATACCATAAATGCTATCCAATTTGCTTCGTTACAAAAGGAAAAAAAGGTTGAAAGAGATAGATTCGATTGCTTTATCATGAACCAAATTGAACAATTGCCGATGGATGCAAAACGAATTGCACAGGAAACCAGGAAAGATCCCGAACTGGGGAAAATCGTCAAGTTATTGGAAGCAGCGCAGAGTCTCGAACGCACCGGTTACCGATCCCCAGAGTCAACCTACAAATTGGCTTCTGATTGCTTGATATTCGAGCACCGTGTGGTAATACCATTGTCACTGCGAGAAGCAATACTTAGAGATCTTCACACCGCACATCTTGGTATTGTTAAGATAAAGAGCATGGCACGCTCATTTGTCTACTGGCCAGACATTGATGCAGAGATTGAACGTACAGCGAAAGCGTGTGAAGAATGCACTAGACATGCACACGCTCCCCCAAAATTTCGCCAACATCATTGGGGCTACCCTAGAGGTCCCTGGGAACGCATCCACATTGATTACGCAGGTCCCGTGGCGGGAATGATGCTACTGATCATCTCTGATGCATTCAGCAAATGGTTGGAAGTCAAGGTGACCAGTTCGATGACTGCGTCAGCGACAATCGCCATACTCGATGAGCTATTCACGTCCTACGATATTCCTTCAATTGTGGTCTCAGACAATGGGACACAATTCACGACGACTTTCAGTCCTTCGAGTGAGTGGCGTCAAGTACCATAAATTAACGGCGCCATATCACCCTTCCACCAACGGGCAAGCCGAGCAGAGTGTGGAGACAGTGAACGCCCTTCGCGCTATGAGAACCTCGCGAAGCACTCTGCAAGAGAACCTGAATAAGTTTCTCCGCCATTATCGGATCACACCTCATATGGCCACGGGATCGTCGCCCTCTCAGCTTTTCCTGAGCCGAACGCTGCGAACATTCGATTTGGTGCGATCTGAAGATGTATTTACAATAGTTACTCAAAAATAGAATGCACAATTTGTTCCCAGGGTTGGGAAGTAACGTGTTACTTGTAACGACGTTACTTTTTTTTAGTAACGCCGTTACCTTTTTTTATTAGTAACGAAAAAGTAACGACGTTATATTTTCTTTAGTACACTTTGATAGGTCACGGCCGTCATGGTCAATAAGGTTAGTAAATTTCGGATCGTAGTGAAATAGCCCAATGGCATAACTTGTTTTGGAAAAATTCCTAGGGTCAGTTCACATCTAGTGACTTATTTACATTATTCGCGTTAGGATTCCCTGTGGCACTTGATGGGCCTTCTACAATAAGCCGTAAGTCACAAATATGAAGTCATGAGCTAGAAATGGACCAATCACAGTCGTCAATTTTTAGTTTCTTACTTCCGATTTATGACTTATGGCTTATTGTAGAAGGCCCATGAGTGGGAAATTCCTATTGGGAATCTGAACACACTCATAGATATGCCTGTTTGACCAAAAAGTACCGAGACGCATTTCACTGAAATGCATGTCGAAAACATGGCTATTGTAGGACTGTGACCACTGAACTATATAATTCAGTGACTGTGACAGATTTCTTAACCTGAATAGTCGTCAACTTTAACACTTAATATCTCGTAGGGCAGAGCGACACTTTTTTCTGCCAGATTCTTTCGTTTCGTGCAAAAACGCGTCTAATAGCGCATTTCACTGGCAGAGCTAGTGCGCACTCAGTGTACTTTAATGCCTTTGTACACAAATCGACATAGAAATATATGTTTAATAAAAATAAAAAAATGATTAAAACCATAAAATCTTTAATACATTTTATTATGTTATTTGACAAAATACACAATAAACATTTTATCAATTGAGATATCTTACTTTAATATCAGATTAGAGTAGTGTATAACGACTTTAATGTGCACTGAGTGCGCACTAGCTCTACCAGAGAAATGCGCTATAACTTCATCAAAATCGGTGAATAGGCCTTGTCTATTGCATAATTACAAAAAAATGTAACGAAAAGTAACGATTTTTTATCGTTACTTTTAAGTAACGGTAACGCGTTATTTTTTAGAATCGGTAACGAGTAACGGTAACGAGTTACTTTTTACCGCAAATAACGGTAACAGTAACGCGTTACATTTAAAAAGTAACTTTCCCAACCCTGTTTGTTCCAGCATTTCGTTCATTTAAACCAACTCAAATTATATATATTAAATATATAAATAAAGAACTCTTAGTATTGAGAGAAAAAATATAATAAACAGGTAAAAGGCTAATAAGAGTCAAACATGTAAAATTGAAAATTGTATTAACACAAATATATTGACTTAACTATAGTATTGTATATAAAAAATTAACATAAAAATTAAACATTAATAAAATATGTAATGTGTTGAATAATAAACAACCATATTATTATTATAATAAAAAGCGCATTACATGTTTTGGCCACGAGTTTTGGCCATCATCAAATGTACAAAATTTAAATACGAAGAAACACATTATAGCGCAGACTAGAGACGGTTTTTAGTTAAGAATTAATAAAAAATGTACAAAAAACATAAAACTAACAGAAAAATTGAGTAACTGTTCTGAGAAACCTGGATACTCGTTAAGCGATTGGATAACTCCTATGGGCTCTCCATTGTCTCCCATTGTTGCACGGTATCGATCATGAAACTTTTTCCCTAGGATGAAAAGTGAAAAGTGAAAATTTTCTCCATTAACTTCAATGATAAAAATTTTCACTTTTCACTTTTCATCCTAGGAAAAAAATTTCATGATCGATACCCAGATCTGATAATAATGATAATGCAAAGACTTGAAAATCCTTAATGTTGTTCAGAGATAATGTCCTTTTTTATTATCGTTACGTAGACGATTTAATTGCATCAGTTTCAGTTTCTAAAATAGATGATTTTTTAAATGCATTTAACGCTTTTCATCCACATTTACAATTTACCTTGGAAATTGGTGACAATTCGTTAAACTTTCTAGATGTTTCTATCATTATAAAAAATAATAAATTAACTTTTGATTGGTTTCACAAGCCTTCCTTTTCAGGTAGATTTATTAACTTTTTTTTATGCCGTCCTTTATCCCAGAAAAAAAGGCATAATTTACAGTTTAGTAGATAGAGCGTTATTATTATCTGAAGCTTCCTATCATGAAAAAAACATAACCTTCATTATAAATATTTTAATTAAAAATGATTATCCATTACAATTTATTTTTTATACCATTAACAGCAGAATTAAAGACATTTTTCAAAAAAATTCTCTACATAATAGTAATTCAATTAATGATGAAACATCTACAACTTGTCCATCTTGGTTCACTGTTCTTTTTGTTCCAAATTTAACAGAAAAATTTAAACAATTTAATAAAAGTGATACCAGGGTCTCTTATTTTAGTTCTAATAAACTAAGCAAATACATCAAAGTACAAAAAGATACCTTAGTCACATCTTCTAAGTCTAATGTTGTTTATAAGATAAATTGTAATAATTGCAATGCTTCTTACGTGGGACAGACAATTGAAGACACGCATTGCTGAACATAAAAATCATATCCGTAGAAATACTAGCTCAAATTCAGTAATAACTGACCATCGTTTACAACAAGGACATGATTTTGATTGGAACAACGTTCGAATTCTAGATGAAAAGCCTTATTATAACAAACACCTTATCTCTGAAATGCTTAATATTAAAAAACAAAATAACAGTCTTAACCTACAGACAGACACAGAAGGCCTTCATAAATCTTATATACCGATTATAAACAAGATTTGACTTTGCATCACCATAATCTTTTCATTATACTTTCTGCGAGACAGTTTGACGGTTCATTTTATTGTTATATAATTTTGACATTACACATATCTTTGTATGTTAAATATTTTATTACCTGTGACATTTTTTACAAACTTATTCGGATTTTACTTTACAATTGATGGACACAGAGGTGAGTTCATTTTTCTGAAAAATAGGGATGCTAAGTTTTTAATACATAAATATTCATTTCTTAGAATCATAAGATATCTATGCAACCGGTTATCCAATCGCTTGATGAGTATCCAGGTTTCTCAGAACAGTCACTCAATTTTTCTGTTAGTTTTATGTTAAACAATAATGTAAGATCTTTTCTTTTATTCTAAGGAACTGATTGTCAGGACTGATGTCAGGAAAGACGAATTGTTATTTAAAATAAAAGTCAACTTGTTAACACTGTAACACACACACACACACTGCATTTATTCTTTATAAGATATATGTATGTATAAACTTGTGTTCACCTATGTCACATATAGGTCGAGAGCAGGGAATGGAAGTAACTCGTTACTTGTAACGAAGTTACAGTTACAAGTTACTTTTTTGGTAAATTTACTGGTAACTGCGTTACTTTCTTTTTTTGGTAACTGTAACGGTAACGAGTTACATTTTTTGGGTAACGGTAACGAAATTTACAGTTACTTTTGTCGTTACTTTGCACACGATTGAATACGGTTCGATTGGATACATGCTATTTATAGTGCTTATCAATAAGACTTGAAAGCCCTTAGACATTCGGCCGTTATGATTCAGTAATTATTTTACACTTCTATCTTCTATGTAATACATAGGACATACAAATATTTCAATTTGCTGCATATTTTACAGGTTTTAGAATTACAAAATTGTGTTTAAAAAAAATTAAAAAATAAATTAAATAATAGTAAAATGAGTAGGGCTATGAACCCAAAAGCGAAACAGTTTAAAAGACGATGACAATAAGTGTCGAAACGTCGTTTGTTTTTATCTT